TGTTTCAAGATCGGGAACACAGGAGGCATGCTGGATAACATCCTTGCCTCCAAGCTCTATCGTCCAGGCAGCGTGGCCTACGTGTCTCGCTCAGGCGGCATGTCCAATGAACTCAACAACATAATCTCCCGCACCACCGATGGTGTTTTCGAAGGTGTGGCCATTGGCGGGGACAGGTATGTATGCTTTCTTTTATCTGCAGTATGTGAGCATGTGGGTTTGGATTGGTGTGTAATTTTACATTCTGCTGCAGATACCCAGGCTCTGTGTTTACTGACCATGTGCTGCGCTACCAAGACAGTCCCGGGGTGAAGATGATTGTTGTGCTGGGAGAGGTGAGGATATAATATATACAAACTTGTGCCTGCATCTTTAAGCAGTTATTGACTTAATACATACTGGATCTGTCTCTGCCTTCCACAGATTGGAGGCACAGAGGAGTACAAGATCTGCGAGGCTATTAAACAGGGCAGGATCACAAAGCCAGTGGTGTGCTGGTGTATCGGCACCTGTGCCACCATGTTCTCCTCAGAGGTGAGAGGGGAAGGTGTAGAGTCTGGTGCATTTCACGCCCCATTAGGCAGTAGCATAATGAGAGATTAGTGACTGTTTTAATGACATTTCTGACCCATGTGGCACCTTCTTTTTTCCCCCTCAGGTTCAGTTTGGCCATGCAGGAGCCTGCGCTAACCAGGCATCTGAGACCGCAGTAGCTAAAAACAAGGCTCTGAAGGAAGCTGGTGCCTACGTACCCAAGAGCTTTGATGAGCTGGGAGACGACATCAAGTCAGTGCACATTGTCATATTCATTCCTTCAGTTCATCACACCAACATAAATATTCTCTGCGACAACATTTTCTGATGTGTTTGTCAGTATTGTATCATAATGATTCCTGAGCTAATTTCACATTCTTCTGTCTCTTTCGTCCATGCAGATCTGTTTATGATGACCTTGTTGCCAAAGGAGTTATCCAGCCAGCCGAGGAGATGCCTCCTCCCACTGTGCCGATGGATTACTCTTGGGCACGAGTGAGTATGCCTCTGAACAAGATCAGTATGATCAAGTGTTTAGCTATCAGAAGAGGGCAAAACAAAGCAAATCGGGTTGTCTTCAAATACAACAAATGGATCACCAGTACATGGAGTGAAAATGTTCCCCTTTTTTTTTGCCCTGCAGGAACTGGGACTTATCCGTAAACCTGCATCCTTTATGACCAGTATCTGTGACGAGAGGGGTCAGGAGCTCATCTACGCAGGCATGCCCATCACTGAGGTCTTCAAGTCGGAAATAGGCCTGGGAGGAACTCTGGGGCTTCTTTGGTTCCAGAGGAGGTCAGCTTCTTAAGCCAGTAATTGTAATAAACAAACTCTTACTAAATCCTTGAACCGCGTAACCATTGCTGTTTCTTTCTTTGTGTGCAGGTTGCCGAGGTATGCCTGCCAGTTCATTGAGATGTGCCTGATGGTGACTGCTGATCACGGCCCTGCTGTTTCCGGTGCCCACAACACCATTGTCTGTGCTCGAGCTGGCAAAGATCTCATCTCCAGCCTCACCTCCGGCCTTCTCACCATCGTAGGACACTTAAACTTGTGATTCGTGTACTTGATTTACTGACCTGCAAAAGACCACCATGAGCATGTTTTTGTCACTTTTCAGGGTGATCGCTTTGGAGGTGCTTTGGATGCTGCAGCAAAGCAGTTCAGCAAGGCATTTGACAGCGGCATGCTGCCCATGGAGTTTGTCAACAAGATGAAGAAGGAAGGGAAGCTGATCATGGGTATTGGACACAGAGTGAAGTCTGTGAGTATGGCTCCGTGTATCCAGTGTGGACAGCAATATGATCTTTAAATCAGAGTTTAGCTATTTTATAAAGCTTAATATAATAAATATCACAGGAAAAAGAATTGCCAATATTGCTTTGGGGCTATAAAAATCATATAAAAGACATACTACAGATGGAGGAAGACAAGGTTGATTAGAGAAGGAAGATTTTGTATGAAAAGGGATTTTCTGTTCTTCCCCAGATTAACAATCCAGACATGAGAGTCCAGATCTTGAAGGACTTTGTGAAGCTGCACTTCACCTCCACGCAGGTGCTGGACTACGCTCTGGATGTAGAGAAGATCACCACATCCAAGGTAAGTTTTATACCTTCATCCTGTCTTTCAAAGCCTTTACTAAATATTTGCATACCTCATCTTTAAATAACATGATCCCCCCCGTGTGTTCATTTTGTTGTATTAGAAACCCAATTTGATCCTGAATGTGGATGGCTTCATTGGTGTGGCCTTTGTGGACTTGCTCAGGACTTGTGGTGGTTTTACACGGTGAGCCGATAAATTCTGGTCTTCTTTACAATGTGTTTTATACAGTTACATTTTTATATTGAACCCATGTAGCAAATGAGTGTAAGGCTCATCAATCGACATGCTGGGGCTACAAGTTGTCATCCACCTACACTTAACTCACACATGTAGTATAAAGGCTACATTGCATGCAGCCACTCTTATCCTTGCTGTCCATTATGTCCACCACAGGGATGAAGCTGATGAGTTTGTGGAAATTGGAGCCCTGAATGGCATCTTTGTCCTGGGACGTAGCATGGGATTTATCGGTGAGTCACTGCTGTAGTGTATGGATAGTATGTGTGTACGTATGCAAGATGGAAAACGCTTCTACCTTGCATGACAACATTTTTCGTATCTCCTCAGGACACTACCTGGACCAGAAGAGACTGAAACAGGGTCTGTATCGCCACCCCTGGGACGACATCTCCTATGTGCTCCCAGAGCACATGTCCATGTAATCAAGGCAACTACCCCGGACAGTGTCAGCCCTCTGTCCTCAGATCCCCTCACCCCAGCTGTCAGTTCCCGCCCATACTGTGATATGTCACGCCAAAGCAGTGGCATAATATAGGGAAGATGTTACTAATAATATAGCTGTAAATTACAAAATATTGAAAAGAAGAGAGTATGTTTTTAGTTTTGGAAACCTGTTAGTGCTGCAGTGTGAATATTAGTAAAAACCTGCTAAACTGTGAAGCTCTAGCCAGAGAAAGTCAGGGTCTGACAATGTGTTTTGGGAGATTTGAAGATGAGTCACGTATACAGGTGAGGGATTATTCACCACCACTCTCATGGCTAGTGAAACACTGTTATTTACCCCCAAATATTACATCACTGTTGTATTAACCAACCAAGCATGCATGTCTGTACCTCAGATTGTTGTCTCTCTGTGCAGCTCTCGTCATTGTGCCACTTGAGAATCATGAGCTTATTACAAAGGGTGAACATGTAGTGCAATAATGCCTATAATATGAGAACATACTGTAGATCAGAGCTTTATTTATATATAGGTGTATTCATAGTGGAAAATTTAATGGTACAAGAATGTTATAGTTTTGATTTTCTCTAATGTTTTTGACACGGTGGCGGAAATGAATCCTCGATCTGCTTACTGTAGCACTTGGGACCATTTTTATGAGTCATTCCTGGCAGGTGTTGGGAAATAATCGTTCTCAGCTGGTGGAAAATATGGCCGTATTTTATTAAAGGGTCTAAATGGAAGTCAAGTTGTGTTCGTCATTAGGAAAAGGAATCTTTAATTTGAATGCATTTTCTTTGCCCAGTTATTTAAATGGTTAATGGCCCCAGAATGCAGTTATAATACGATCTTCTATGAGACATTAGCTACAAAAAGATTAAATATATTTTTTAAGGTCTACTCTGTCTTGATATTGTTAATATAAATGTACTAATCCCATTAAAATGAACTGAATTAATATTATTAGAATATTTCTGCATCAGTGCCACAAGATAGCAAATATTTTTAGCAGTTAAATCATAGGTTTTATATTTTCACATGATTAATATGTTGTTTTAACAACCAATTAATATGACGGTTACTAGTCTCACTTTGGGGAATTTAACACACCTTTTAGGTCGCTATGTTTGTATTCAGTGGAGAAAAACCATGTGGACAGTATGCTCTTTTAAATGAAAATATTATAATTTTTTCCCCCCCATAATTTATGAGGTATAAAAGAAAATGTATGGCAGCCATCATCAGTGTCATCTTGTAAGTGAATGTTACAAAACTATAGGAATTCTGTGGACAACCAGAAACCTCACCAGTGTTGTCTCAATGTTCATGTTTTTAACTGTTTCAGTGTGAACTCAACGTGCCTCTGTACGGATTTGTTGTATGTTTAATGTGTAATTGAGTAAAATAAAATGTAATTAATGTAATGTAATAATACTGTGTGTGTGTTTGTACAATTTTATCTTCTCAAATATATAGCTAACCTCTGTCCAGGTTAAATTGTTAACTTAGGGTTGGGTGTCTTTCTAAACTGACATTTTTTTGATACCTGCACACAACTTTTCATATCTTTAGACTCACTCCAGCTGTTTTAAACTAAATTCAAACATGCTTTAGACACACTATGTGTTAAATCTCTAGATTGTGCAACTGTGCAGAGATGTAAACATCTTGGCATTTTAGCTTCTGAAACACAGGTGTTTGCATTTCATGTAGTTTTTGCCTATGGCAGGTTTGTGCTATCGTGAATCTACCATGAGATTCCTTCTGCATAATGACTTGAATGTTGTTTTCTTCAGACCACGAGGCATTAAAACATATAAAATATATAGCAGACTTGGATTTCCTTGCTATCCACTGTAATTATACAGTCTATATATATCTGAGTGGTATGAGGCTGTGCATTTATTGCAGTGGGTCAACCTTCCCTCAGCCTGCAGAGCAAACTACATGCATGTCAATACAAGCTCCTCTCCATGTGCAGAGCTCAGCAGTGACAAGTACTGCCAGCGACGTCAACGACTCGGTCACGCCTTTCATCCACTGCGCATGTCAGTGACTGTCTTGTGTTTACCAAACTGAAGTCGGTTCCGTATTCGTAGCTTCCTAAACGATTGGATATTTTACAGAATAAACGGTGCTAAAAGGTACGTTTTTATCTTGTACTATAAATGGAAGCCCAGGTGAAATAATACCGCTGTTATTGTGCATATCTGTTACGTTATTATTGTGTGCATGTAGCTGTTTATCGGCCGTGTGGTAATTGTTATTTTGTGTTATATGTCAGATAACCATTGTATTTTATCTGACATAAAAAATACACTTTTTTTAAGCTTCATTTTAAACTCCTGGCCACTGAAATGTTGCATTTAAAACCGAACAATGTTGCAGGATGAGATTAACCCAGCTTTAAAGCCGCGGATGTGTCGCTCACGAATACGAAACGCGCTTCGCTGTCGTCCTCTGTTTTGACTCCATGTATGTGTGGCTGCGTATGTCGCCTCCTCTCCTGCACTAGTTTACTTCATCCCCCCCCCCGCCACCACTGCTCACCTCCAGCGCCGGCAGCAGAATGGCAGCGGCGGCCCCCAACCCGGAGGACTCCGCCAGGAGCAGCGGCAGCAGCGGCACCAGCACACCCAGCGCCCTCGCCGGAGACGGGGACGCGGAAGAGACCGAGGACTTCACCTCCTCCTCCCACTGCTCGGAGCTGTCTCGGCGGCAGAACGAGCAGAGGAAGCAGGGCTTGTTCTGCGACGTGACGCTGGCCTTCAGCAGCGGGGTGGCTACCGGGAGCGTCCAGAGCTGTGAGTTTTCAGCCCACAGGTCTGTCCTGGCTGCGGCCACCGATTATTTCACGCCTTTGCTGGGTGGACAGTTCTCCGAGTCCTTGTCCGGACGGGTGGAGATGAAGGAATGGAGCTCAGAACTGGGTCCGGACCCGGACACGGTGGAGAGTGTCATCCAGTACATGTACACTGGAGAAATACGCGTTAGCACCTGCAATGTGCATGAAGTACTGGAGCTAGCTGATAGGTAGGAGCTGCTTACAGTCACATTTCTTGTGTGTGTGTGTGTGTGTGTGTCAGAGAGAGAGACTGTGATTTTCATAGTCAAAGCATGAGGCCTTCAATGGCTGCCCTGATGCCTAAAAAGTATTATTTTTGTGCTGTGCTTGCATCAAACCAGTAGAAATAGAATAGTATTATCTCCATAAGAGAAACTGCTCATTGTCTCTGACATTTCTCTCTTGTCTCTATAAGGTTTCTGCTGCTGCAGCTAAAGGATTTCTGTGGTGAGTTTCTTAAGAAGAAGCTGAGCCTGACCAACTGTGTGGCGGTGCACAGTCTCGCCCACATGTACACCTTGGACCAGCTGGCTCTACGGGCTGCAGACATGATCCGCCGCAACTTCCACAAGGTTATCCAGGATGACGAGTTCTACACGTTGCCCTTTCACCTGGTCCGCGACTGGCTGTCTGACGCAGAGATCACAGTGGATTCTGAGGAGGTGCTGTTTGAGGCTGTGGTGAAGTGGGTGCAGAAGAACTCAGAGGAGCGAAGCCGCTACTTTGAGGAGCTGTTCCGTCTCCTGAGGCTGCCCCAAATAAAGCCCACCTACCTGACCAGGGTGGTGAAAAATGAGCGGCTGGTGGCCGCCAACGAGGCCTGTCTCCGGCTGGTATCAGAGGCAGTAGAGGGTCACGCTATCCGCTTTGAGAACCTCAAGTCAGCTGATATGGAGTTCTGGTCCTCCCACATGGCCTCCTTTCAGCCTCGCTTTGGCCAGAACATGGACGTCATCATGGTAGTAGGCGGTGTGTCAGAGGGAGGGGACTACCTGAGCGAGTGTGTGGGCTACTTCATTTACGAGGACCGCTGGGTCAATCTGCCGCACATCCACAACCACCTGGACGGTCATGCCATCGCTGCCACAGAGTCCCACGTCTACGTAGCCGGTTCGATGGAACCAGGCTTTGCTAAGACGGTGGAACGTTACAATCCCAATCGCAACACCTGGGAGCAGGTGAGCAACCTGACCACACGCAAGCATTCCTTTGGCCTCACCTGCATCAAGGATATACTGTACAGCATCGGTGGCCATGGAAACTTCAGTCCAGGTTTCAAAGACGTCAGTGTATACGAGCCCGAGCAGGACAAGTGGCACAATCTGGAATCTGCCCCCAAAATCCTGCGGGATGTGAAGGCAGTGAGTGTAGAGGACCGCTATGTGTACGTTACAGCACGCACGCCTGTCGATACGGATAATGAGGATGGACTGAAGACGGTGACCACTCGCTATGACACGGAGAGTCGCCAGTGGCAAGATGTTGACTCTCTGCCCCTTATTGACAACTATTGCATCTTCCAGATGGCTGTGGCCTCTACTAACTTCTACCACACGGCCTCCTGCTGCCCCAAGAGCTACACGGAGAGGGATGAGGTTGCTAAGCAGAAGATCAGCGTGCGCATCTCTGATGAGATCCTGGAGAGCCTGCCACCAGAGGTTACCAGCATCGAGGGTGCTGCAATCTGCCACTTCGATGAGGACGTCTTCATCATCGGAGGCTGGAAGAACAGCGATGATGTGGACAAGCAGTACCGCAAGGAGGCCTACCGCTACTGTGCCGAGAGGAAGCGCTGGATGCTGCTGCC